CCGGGGCCGGGGGGGGGTGGAGGGTTGGGGTTCAGCCTTCTGGGGGTCAGCCTGTGGTCTTGAAGCTACTCCGGTTGCCGGTGTCCGCCGTAGTGGCACCGTGCTTGCTGCTCTGTGTGCCCATTTGCCCTTAGTGAGGTGGGACTGGTGGCGGTGGGGCCTGGCCGTGGTGAGGGCAGCCCCTTAAAGAGCCCCGGGGAGCTGGGCTCAGGAGGGAGAGGTAAGGGGCACGTTGGGCTTTGAGTGGAACCACCTCGTCACTGGGATCTATTTCTTTCAGCTCATCTCTGGCTCTGAATGTGGCTCTGAATGTCTGTTTTGACTGTATTTAGGATGAATTCACCTGTGCACACATCGTCCTTTATTATCAACAGTACGTAGGCAAAGGAAGCAGCTTCGGGTCAGGTGAAGAGTGTGAGCTGGTGATTCAGCAAGCATCCCTGTGCGAGGTGGTAATCTCGGTTCTGCTGTCTAATCGTTGGTCTCTTCTACCATAACAAAATTAGCAACTGATCTTATTTTAATTTCAGGTGAACTGGTGCAAGTTGTAGATGATTAAGCCCACTCTGCTTTTAGTGGAAACTGGCTCCTTTGATATCTTTCACAATGTTTTAAAAAATCTTATTTATTTATTTATTTATTTTTAACAGGCCTACAGTTTTAGTAAGTTTGAAGACATTTTGCAAAACATTCCTTTTGATTCTGGACAAAATCTGTTCTCGTCTAAAGGTCTTTAAATTCTTTTGTCTGACTTGTCTTACTTTTCTTGAAGGAGGACTTTTTTTATTTTGAAACTCAGACCTACTCTAATTATTACCAAAAATAAATAAACTTGGAAGCATCTTTCTGACACACCACTTTGCAAGCAACCGCAGAGTAATGGACATTGTGAAACCTGCATGTCAGGAATTCCAGAGTCACAGACCCTGGGCATACTTGTTTGTTTCTAACCCTAGGGAAGTTCATGCAACAAGTAGCTGAGGAAGTTGACAGTCACACCTTTTAGCTCTGGACCAGGTAGGCGAGTTGCCAGCTGGCATAATGTCTGTGGCAACTTGGCTACAATTCAGTACGGGAGCTTTTAAATTCATATGATGCAACAGCTTCTGCTGAAAAGTTTCATAATAATTTTAGTAGTATTATATTCCATATTGGATGTACCAAGCCTAACCTGGAATGTGTGTGCTGGGGAAGGGATATCACTAATTGTTTTACAGACAGTTATAAAAGAGTTTTTAAAATACTCACCTTAAGCCGAGTTTTGTCCTTGGTAAACCACTATATTTAGCACCTTGGTTGTCTGAAGAAATACAATTTTGAACTGTGGAATTTTATTCCTACTTGGTAATGTTAATTCATCAGACTTATAAAATGCAATATACAATATGAGAACAATTCATTATGATGGATGGTGCAGAATTAAGAAATTACAAAATAGGGTATAAATAAATAATTTTTCCATTTCATTATTATATTGTACCATCTCATTTTTCAAAAGAACCCTCCTGAATTACTAAGAGCACAAGATTTTTAATACCTGTACCAGGATAAGGTTGTTAGCCCATTTACTTTGTTATTTATGAGGACTAAGTTCTGGTACTTCTGGAAAAAGCTTATTTTCCTCTTAAAAATTCATTTTTGAGAGCTGACAAATTGGTAGAAAAAAACATTTGTATAAATGGTTTCTTTTTTGCTTTGAAGTCTGATAGGTTCTTCTTATCCTATCACCTTATTTTTTTTCCAGCCTAATAGTAATAAAATAGTAATATTTAGCTCCCCCTGATTTGTAATTAAAATCAATATGGAATTACAGTACCAAAAGGATTTTTTTTCTAAATTTAAAGACCCTTATTTAATCAAATATTTTTGTTTATTGTTTTCTGTTAATTGCAGAAGATCATTGTAATTTCTTGTGTCAGTTCCCTTTCAAAATTTGTAGTATTTGATTAAACTCGTGTATTTTTTTCTGGATTAAATAATGTTAGAATTGTTGAGTTTTTAGTCACATGTTAATCTGTGTATTATTTATGGTGTGGTAGCCATACTTAATTTCTTTGCACTCTTCTGTTTTTACATATATTTTTTTTCCCTTTTAATTTATCTCAGTATATTAAAATGCATAATTTGCTTCTGAAAATGGTTGCCTTAGAGTTGGAAAAGACCTTATTTGACAGCCAAATGGTGGCATAGTTGAAGTACCTCACCCTTCCTTGCCTTGGCCACTGTCATCACCTGAAATATGTCAACCTGTAGGCATCTGGGGGTAGCCCTGTTGGAGGTACTGTGTTCTGGTAATCTCCAGATCATACCTGCTCTCACACTATCACTTTTGTCATTAGCTAGGTCAAGAGGAGTCTTGGGAGATTAAAGGTGGATTACTTTGGTTTGTGTTAGTGTGGTACAGCTGGATGTGAGATCTTTATAATAGGTTTAAAATGGAAGAACTCTGGAGGGTAAGCGAAGAAAGCACAAGCATAATAGGATAAGGTGTTTGATATATAATTTAGTGCAATCTGGTATAGTCTTGCTCACAATAGTAAGAGTGCAGGAGCAGCCGAGAACAGCTACATTTGTGGGAGGAAAAAAAAGGTTTATATGTGTATTGGTTTTTTTTCAAAGAAGCTATTTCAGCCTGAGTTTATTACAAGGGCAGAAACTATGTATACAGGATTTGGTTGTGTGTTGTTTTGTTTTTTGGTTTTTTTTCAAATTGTGAGTGCTGTGATTCATGCCCTGCAGATGACAGAAGCTATGCAGGTGTAGAAGTTGCATTACTTAAACCTGCTTTTTTCAAATTATTTATTTATCTATATATTTTTTTACGCTTTAATTGCTTGTTTTGCTTATGCATTTTCTGTCAGCTGCTTTGTTTCTCTTTCAGAAGCACTATGGAGTTCTGGGCTGCTAAGTTGCAGTGGTAGGGTGATGAAGCATCTGGGAAACAGGCAGAACAGCTGTGAGGAAGGCATGGCAGGAGCATGGAACAGTTGGCAGAAGGGGAAGTATTTTTTCTAAAACTTAGAGAATAAGTAGTTAAAACTGCTGCTGCAGAGGATTCCTTTGAAAGGAAAAAAAATTAATGGAGAGGGAACCTTGTGTAATAAGAAATTAAATAAATGGAAAGGATTTTCATATTGTACAGAAAAATATAGTTATTAGCTAAAATACTCTTCCTTATGTTCAGATGATAATCATATCATTGGAAAATTAACAATGCTGTACAGAATGGCGTTGAAAGTGTTTTGTAATTTGGGTATGAAAAATGTCACAACTTGTGTAATCAGGACTAGTGTGTGGATATATGATAATAAAAAGAATTTTAAGTAGTATCTATTTTCATTCCCATGTGGATTTAAGTTTAGAAAATAAATAAAATTGTCAAATAATGATCGATGCGGGAATTCTGAAGTTACATTCATTATCAATGTCAGAGGATATTTTACAACTTTTATTTAATTTTAACATTTTTTAATGTTTGGACTGCTTTGTTCTTTCTGCATTGAAGAAGAGAAAAGGAACATTCATTCACTTGCTTTTTTCACATTGCCCAGTCCATTTGGGTCCTAAGCGAAAGCTCATGAATACTATTACAAGTGGTGAGTGTAAGTTTTCATCACATCTTGAGATCTGTAAGCATAGTGATATACCTTTTCCTCACATTGAATATTTTTTAAAAAAAACAACATTGCTGTTATATGGAGTTTGCAGATATAATCACATGTAAGTATTTATATCTGGAACCAAGACTTGGTTTGTTGAAGACTGACTAATAAAAATCCAACCAACCTTCTTCAGCAGCTGTATAATCTTGGAGCTACTTTTAACTGTGTAGGTATATTGTGATTTATCTGAAGTACTTTGTAGCAATTGTGTTTGGTATGTGTAACCAGGGTCTTTAGCCAATCAGAAATTAGTTGAAGTGTCCTGTAAGCCTCATGAGGGACTGATCCCATGTGAATACTTGGATAATTCATTTGGGGCCGGGGAGGGGGGGGGGGGGAAAGGCAAGAGAGTAACAGACACTGTTATTCAAAACCAGGTTGCTCATGATCCAGTGGTTAACATAGTGGTTAGACTAGTTGAACAAGCAAGAAAATTGGATTTGGGTGTGTCCTCATTCATATCAATGTCTCTTCCTTCCCATGACAGTATGTTAATTACTAGGCCAGTCTAGGGGAAGAGGCTTTTGGGGCAGGACTTGGCAGGGCTCATTGATAGAGCTTTAAACTAGATGTGAAGGGGGGTGAAAGGCAAGAGAGTAACAGACACTGTTATTCAAAACCAGGTTGCTCATGATCCAGTGGTTAACATAGTGGTTAGACTAGTTGAACAAGCAAGAAAATTGGATTTGGGTGTGTCCTCATTCATATCAATGTCTCTTCCTTCCCATGACAGTATGTTAATTACTAGGCCAGTCTAGGCTGGAGGAAGGTGGGAAGGGAGTTGGGGCAAAGTCCCCTTTTGCTTCCTCAATTAGATCTAAATGGATTTCAGAAAATACTAAATAGACCTGTTCAAATGCAGGAGGCTGACAATGACTCTGGTCCTCTGGAAGGAGGGAAACTATTTGCTCTGGATTGAAGTATCTATTCAAAACCCTGGTTTTAAATTTTAGTATATAATAATGAGAAAAGAAACAGGGCTAATCTTGGGAACTAGAGCACAAAACTTGGCAGGTGCTGTAGCTGCTCAAGTGTTGCATCACATGTCCCCTCCCATGGCAGCTCTGTTTCAAAAAGGGATGAGCCATGCTCAGTTCTTCAAAGGCTACTGTAGGTACTGCCCTCAGGAGAGGACTCAAATTTTTGGCTTATAAATAGATGAAGGTGCCACCCTTGCAGTGCTGACTCGGACACCTTGACTTTAACGGGG